ACTACTACTACTACTACTACTGCTACTACTACTACTACTACTACTAACTACTACTAACTACTACTAACTACTACTAACTACTACTGACTACTACTAACTACTTCTACTACTACTACTACTGCTACTACTACTACTACTACTACTACTACTACTACTACTACTACTACTACTACTACTACTACTACTACTACTATGACTCACACCAGGAAGAAGGGCCCGCACGACTCACACCAGGACGAGAAACCCCAAACGACTCAAACGACGAGGAGCGCTTTCTCTCCCTCCTCCTCCGCCTCGTCCTTCTCCCGCTCCCACCACAAGGAGGATGTACAAGGAGGCGGGAGGAAGGAGGAACAGGGGAGATATGCGGGGGCAGGCGGAAACACGCCTGAAAAGCACGACTGTCGGCATGCTTCGCAAGAGTTGCTGTTTTGAGATGGGCTGGTGGGGATACGCGAAGCGTGAAGAATTTCGAAGCGAATCCGGCGGTGGCGACAAGGGGCCAGAAACGGCAAAAACGAGGGAAGGTAGCGGTATGGGAACCTTTTCCTCCCCTGATGAGCAGCAAGAACCAACGACGCGCCGTCCCGCTTCAGGCTTGCCCTCGTCAGCAGCACCACGGCCACGTTCCACGAGGTCGCCTGCCTCTCGGAAAGGTATCGGCATGGAACGGTAGCAGTATGGCGATGGACGGTTTCCCCCGGGGCCGTAAGCGACCCCAGGAGGGGATGGCGAGGAGGAGGAGGAGGAGGAGGAGGAGGAGGAGGAGGAGGAGGAGGAGAAGGGCGAGGAGGAGGAGGAGGAGGAGGAGGAAGGAGGAGGAGGGAGGAGGAGGAGGAGGGAGGAGGAGGAGGAGGAGGAGGAGGAGGAGGAGGACGAGGAGGAGGAGGAAGAGGAGGAGGACGGGTCGCCTAAACACTTCGGAGAAACCTTTCATATGGCGATTCGCTTAAGCAGGGCGAGCTGCCTGTTTCCGGCAGCGCGCCTCGGCCGCGGGCCGTGGGCCGCCCCTCGCCGGCCCGCGGCCCGCCGGCCCGCATGCAGGCGGCCGCCGGGGACGAGCCAGAACGGCTGTTTGCGGAGCCGCGGGGCGCGGTCGGCGCTGTGGGGGTAAAGGGGCCCGGCATCCGCCTCCTCCTCCTCCTCCTCCTCTTCCTCTTCCTCCTCTTCTTCCTCCTCCTCCTCCTCCTCCTCCTCCTCCTCCTCCTCGTCTCCGAATCCCTTTTCCTCCTCCTCGTCCTCCTCCTCCTTGTCCGATGGGTCGCTCGGATGGCGCAAATGAAGAAGAAAAAGAAATATCAAAAAACGAATGAACGGATCGATGGACAAACTCGGCGGCAGGCCGTGCGGTAAAGGAGAGACAAACGTACTGGAAAAGCTGAATGCCCAGAAAGGGCGCAGAATAAGGGTGCGTCCGCCGCTATGGCGGGGGGAAAGAGCCTCGAAACCATCACCCTAATACCGAAGAGGGAGGTTCCGAACAAAAGTGGACGAAATACGCGTGCAGCAGCAAGTGGGAGCAGCAACGCAATAAAAGGCTTGCTGGCACATTGTTCCGCTGGCTGGTGTGTCCCAGTGGCATGATTATCCACTTCGGTGTGCAAGGCAGCCAGAGCAGTGGCGAGGCAAGCTGTATAAGGTGTCCCACTAGCCCCCCGCCCAAAAAACCTTCTATATATAGAACGTGCCCGTAAGGAGGCTCGCAGAGTACGTCGCGCGGCCAGGTGAAATAAACAGAGCAAGCGGCGGCTGAGACGAAGCGTAAGTGGATGTGTGGCACTGGTAAGTGCGAAAGGTGCTGTGGTAAATGGTCCACAGCTGGGTCCGTTCCTCAAACCTACCCCCTACTCACTCGCCAAAGAGGCAGCACGCAGCAAGAACGAGTAGAAGAGTTGACAGGCTGGGCTGCAACCGCGGGGGTCCACTTCTTTGCTCTCCAGCTCGTCGCCTGGGTTCCGAGTCTTGATGATCTTGGTGGTACTCGTCCATTGTGACTACCGACCAAGGGTTCCAGTAGAACCCCAGCCTCTCGAAGTCCAGCTTGGAGCTCGACTCCTCTGAATGGCCATTCAGGCTCAGCCAAATCTGCGACTCGACGTAGATGACCTCCCAGTCGAATGGCTTCTCTGGAGTCATGTCCACAAACTGGACCCTCGACTGAGGTCTCGCAATCGCGACGGACAAGCCCTCGTTCAAAGCATTGTAGGTCACTTCGACGCACCTGTCGCAAGAGTCGGCGCGGTAACCTGTAGGCGCCAATTTCGCGGAGGTGCCCGTCAAGTCGCTGATGATGCGCAGCCGGCATCTGTCAGAGGGGTCGACCTCGCGCCGCTTGACTGGGTAGTCGAAGCCAATCTGGCGCCAATCTGGCAGGCCCAATCTGGCAAACGGGGGCAATCTGGCGAGGGAACCAACGCGAATCCAGTCTGGCGAATAACCCAAATCATCCAGTTTGGCCGGGCCAGATTGGCCCTTGGGGCCCAATCCAATCTGACAGTCTGGCCTTCGACTACCCAGCTTGACGACTGCGCTACGCTCATATCCCGCAGTGGCCAACTGGTACTCGGCTCCAACCTCCATCGACTGCAGCAACGCGGCCTTGGCGATAGTGGCAGCGTCGGAGGGGGGCCGCTGCTGGGCCATCGCCGGACCGGCGAATCTCGCGAATCGCCCGGCGAGGCACGGGGGCAACTATCGAGCTCAGAAGGTGGAGAGTGAAGCATGGAGCTATCGAAGCCGCTGGGGGGGGGGCAAGCGATGCTCGCCACTCCCTCAAGGAGGAGCGAGTTGACCCCATCCTCCCCGACAGCAGCCTCGATCGCTCCCTTCCTCAGTCTCCTCGTCGTCGCCATCCTTTGCCTATGCGCAACAAGTGCCAGCGCGATCAAACGCCCGATTCCCACCCGCCACTGATCCCCGCATGCATGTTTACGTGGAAAGCATCATCCGCCCGCCCCCCCCCCCCCCAAGCGGCCCTCTCGGCCCAAGCGCCCGCTGACTCAAACGGCCCGTCGAACGCCCCCCGCCCCCACTCTCATTGTAGGAGGTCGCCACTGGAAGAAACGGACGCCACGTTGTTTCCATCGCTCGAGCTCCACTTCTAAACAATGTGCTCGACGCCGAGCCAGCTCGACTTGGCCCCGCCCCCAGATAAGCTACGACTGGCAGAGAAAGAGCTCGAGCACAGAAGATGCACGGTTTCTCGGGCTACACGCCCACTCGAACGACAGCGATACTTTACACCACCCATCTACTATTGAGGCCCGGGCGCTCTGGCCGCCTTCCCAGCGGCCACGCGTTCCGAGGGCTCGCCAGCTTGTCAGGAGCCTTCTCGCCCGTCGAACTGCGGCCCTCGCGGTTGACGCTGCCTCTCTTCGAGTTGAAGTCGCCGCCGCCCTCGTCGTCGCTGCCGTCGGATTCCGGGCGGGGGCCCGACGGGAACGAATGCTTGCGCCTGGCGCCTGCGGGCAACGCCGCGCGCTTCACCCAGAGCCGAATCAACGCGTCGCCCCTCGCCTCGACCATCGCAGCCCGAGGGGGGACATCGACAGGCACCCTGATAGCGACATCAGGCACCGCCACCCCTTCAAGCGAGAAGCCTGGGAGAGCGACGTCGACCAACGAAATCTCGCGGCCCCCCTTGCGAATGCTCGAGCGCTCCATCTGCGCCCCCTCCTTGCGAGCATTGGGCACAACGGCCCCGCGCTCATCGGAGCCCAGCTCCACCCTCGAGGCAGCGACTTGAACCTTCCTCTGCACGTCGGCCATGCCAGGCACCTCCGCGTTGTAGGCCCTCCCCCATGACAGCCAGGCGCTCGGCGCCGCGCTGCCTCTCGCCAAATGGCCCAACTGCGGGCCAGCCACGTTGGACACGATGACCCCTGACCGAATCTGCGTCTTACCAGTAAGCGCACTGACGGCCACCGCCCTCGTGGAGATTACAGCTCAAACGCCATAGCGAGAAATCAGCATCCGACCTCAAATTAACAAAAAGCTGGGAAGCGCCACGAACGGCTGCAGAGCGCTGCGACGATGCACGGCATCGGCGGTCAGTAATGCGAGCCAGCGCGGGCCTCAAACACTTCGTTTCTAGCAATCAACGCGGTGCTATCCATGCGGCGCAGCCTGTGCGCTACAAGATGCGCGGTGCAATTCAACAACGCTCGCAACGAGTTGTCAATTCCACTGCTCGCGCAATCATCCCGCCCGCCCATCCGCAATTTGGCTTGCTAAACCCACGCGGCGGCGATGACGCTGAGTGCCGGGCGCTGGCTGGCGCACCTCCGCGGCCGCCCTTGCCCGCGCAAGCTCATGCGCGCAGCGGCCAGCCAGTTTGGCGCGACCGACGCGGCCTGGGCGGCGCTGACCGCCGGGCGCTTCCTAGCGGGCACCTCAGCGCGAGTCGGCGACTTGGGCGGGCGCGGCACGACGTCGACATCGATAACGGTAGACACGATGATGATAGTAGCGATGCCAGCGACGATGGCGACAACGACGACGGCACAACCAGCGACCGCGCCGACGTCGATCACGTCGACGACGATGACGGCACCTTCGCGTCGGCGACGAAGGTCGCAGAAAGAGTTCGCAGCGCGCGCGCGGCCGACGCGCGAGCGCGGTCCGCGCGGCAGCTTGTGACGCGGATCACGCCCCCCCCCCCCTCTCCACCCAGCACGCGCGCAAGGGCGCTCGGACGATTTCTACGCGCGGCGCGAGAGGCCCGTTTGGCCGAATGCACAAAATATGCGTATATATACATACGTATATATATATATATACATATATATATATATATATACATCTAAAGATTGCGCGAGAGCGTCAACGCATGCTCATTGGGAAACTGGCGCTGCGAAGCCACGCGCGTCACATCTGTTCGGGACACCCCATTGTCAAATCCGCGCGATGCCTCTGCTTTTCGAAGGATCTCACCACGCGCGCCCCACGACGCGCGCGCGCACATCACCCCGCGCGTTCAAGTCCCGCGACAAAACGCGCGCAAGGGCGCTCGAACGATTTCGCGCGCGCGAGCAGACCGCGCGGCAGCAGTGAATGATAAGGTCGAAGCCAGCGCACGGTTTTCGGGAGAGGAGGATATATATATATATATATATATATATATATATATATATATATATATATATATAATAAACAATATATATGTAATATATATTGTTTTTATATATATATATATATATATAATACGCGAGCTTTTTGAAGACTCACGTCGCGAAACCATGTGCTGTATATGTTTTCCGGGGCACTCGAATGGGGAATCCGCACAGAACCTGAAATTTGTTGACAGGGCCTGGCTTGCGCGCGCGACGACGCTCGCGCGCGCAACTGACAATTATGTCGGCGAACGGGCACGCGCGCATCTATTTCTTTGCAGAGACGAGAGGGGGGGCCAGCGGCATGTGAACTCAGACTTGGGATGATGGGCGATGGGGCAGAATCACATGCAAATTTCAATGCGAAAGAAAATGCCGCTAAATACCGGGCGGGGGGGGGGGGGGGCAGGGGGGGAATTGGGCGGGGCTGAGGGGGGATGAGATCCTACATCCCTTTTGGATATGAAAAAAATACGCGGCGAAACCCGCGCAGCGCATGCCACGCAATGCAACCTACACGGCGAAGTTCACTGGCCGAACTTGAGATTGTCAACTCCACCACTGCTCGCGCAATCATCCCACACACCCGCCCGCCATTTAGTTTGCAAAACCCACGCGGCAGCGATTGCGATGAGTGCTCGGCGTTGGCTAGTGCATCTTTGCGGCCGCGCAAGCCCGCGCATGCTCGCGCGCGCAGCGGCCGGCTAGTTGGGCGCGACCGACGCGAACGCGGTGGAGCTGACCGCTCGGCACATCCCAGCGGGCACCCCAGTGCGAGTCGGCGACAAGGGCGGGCGCGGCACCATGGCAACGTTAACAACGGCAAACACGGCGGTAGCGACGCGGGTGACGAAGCTGACAGCGACGACGGGGCAGCCAGCGACAGCGCCGATGCTTATCACGCCGACGACGACGACGACGCATTCGCGACGGCGATTGGAAGAAGTTCGAGATGCGGTCGC